AAAAAAATCTATAAAAAACAAAAATTCATACAAAAGAAAAAAAACTGAAAAAAGCCATGAATGAAAAGGAGCAGAAAGAAGTATAAACTTAAAATATTATAAACTGAACTAATAAACTTCATCAGCAAACTGTGACAACCCCTCTGAATACATGAACAAAATATGGATTCAGTTAAAATAACAAGACAAACAAAAAAAAAAGAAAATTCACAGACCTTGTCAGAACTAACAGCTTGTAAAAATCTGTTTAAGATTATGTGACAAAAATACAAGATATTTCGTTGACCACATGAACAAATGATTAACACCTGTGTGTCTTATGTCCTAAATGTGATAAAATAAAATAAAAACTGTGCATGGAAACAAACAGGGTTTGGTTTCAACTGAAWCATTCATCTGGCAGAATGAGTGACGTTTATGATTCAGTCTGAGCCCCTTCATCATACAATTAGAAAGCAAAAAAATAGTTTGAAATTAATGAAGAAACCATAAAATAATTTGTTGAGCTGCGATGAAGAACTCAACAGGTTGATATTCAAACTTRATATAAAGCTGTTACTTCTCAGTTTATATCTATGTGGCATTTTTATAACTGATCTGATACTGTTTGATCAGATGTTGGTTTAAAATTGTTTTTTGTTCCTAATTTGAGCCTGCCCATGTTTTGTTTTAAATATATGATTTGGGTAAATTTAGTGAAGCAAAATCACCATGAAAATCTGTAATCTTCAATTACCTCATAAACCAGGATTGACATCACTCCAACACAGTTATGATCAGAAAATGCAACAACGGAAAACCAAGAGAGAAGAGTGAAAAATAAAGGTTTTATTGTCAAGAGCACATGCATGTTGTAAAATGTGCAGATAGATCAATCCAGCATTTAAAACTTTATTTGAGTCTCCAGAATGCTTCTGCTGCTAAAAAACATCCAGTAGTTTCATTTCAGCCTTTAAGATTTTATGACTTTGGTATTTAACTTCATGGTTCTGAAGWTCAAAGGTTAGTGTGTGTCGGAGCTTTTATACCTCCTGATGAAACACACACGACAGAGACAAGCCTATGTTCCAAATACAAAATGTGGATGTGTTTCATCTCGCAGTGCTTGCTCAAATCAGACCYGTCCCTCATTTTAACACACTCGTTTCCGCTCTTGAGTTATGAAGTGTTTTTGGCAGCGTTTGTTCACTTCACTAATGGCCGTGGCCCAGTTATCCAGAAACCATCTATGAGAAGCGCATTATCCTGATGATTTGGCTGAGAGCRGGGCTCTCTGTGGGCATCTCTTCATTCCTCCGCTCTCTGTTGCATCCAGTTCTTTCAGCAGAAAAGATTAGCTGAAAGCTCGTCTTTGTCCATGACAAAATCCCCCCTGAATGCCCCCTTTCCCGGTCCCACCATAATCGAATTTCACCGTGAGGATCAACAAGATTGGCATTCATAAGGCTCATTGTCGTAAAAAGTTCCTTTAATACAATCCAAATATATTTATTCTTAACAGACCCCACAGAAGACATTTCTGACATAGAGCTATTTTGCCTTAATGAGGGGATGCAGTGGCTCAGTGGTCTCGTAATCCGGGGGCTACAGGTTCAAACCCAGGTTGCGTCTGGTATTAAACAATTGGCAAATATTTTGCTCTCTTTGGTAAACCCTGCAGAGAGGAGCAGCCAAAAAAAGAAAAAAAAAAAAACCAATATTACCATAGATGAGCCCAGAGACATAAAAGAAATAAGCTAGTCTTTCAAGCCCTTAATCTAATTCAACAGCATCAATAGTCAGAGCGATGGACAGGAGCTTTAATTACTCTCAGACATGTGCTCAGACGTTTATGTGTAGATTTGTCTTCCCAGTGCTGCAGTCTGTAACGTACTGACTGAAGAGCCTAAGTGATTACCAGTGCTGTATAAAGTAAGATTAAGTAAAAATATTTCAACAGAGAATGACTTTGGTAAAAATTAATTTCACTGAAAAGAAAAGTACGTAGGTAAAAGTCATAAAACTACTCACAATAACTGGGAAAGTAAAAGTATTTTCACACACACTCTAAGAAAAGAAGTGTTGAGTTTACTTCACCAAACTGGTTCCAATAAACTGAGTTGAGTAAACTGATTTACATTTACTGAACTCAGTTTAGTGGAACCAGTTGACATAATTTTAAGTAAATTCAACACTTCATTTTTTAGAGTGTGAACATTTTTTTATATAATGATGAGTTCAGTCATATTTAAATTTGTAACAAGTAACTAGGAGTTAAATTTTAAAGTAAAGAAATAAGAGTATCATTTTTAGGTTTTGAATGTAACAAAATAAAAGTAAAAGTTACGATTTAAAAAATATACAAATCCTTAAAAAATGTGAGTACTGTAAGAAAGTAAATGTACTTTGTTACTGTACACTTCTGGTGAAGGAAACACTTCAGTGAAAATGTTCGTGTTTCAGAACAGATCTTAGTTAAACTAATGAGACATCTAACAGATCTCATCATCTCATTTAGAAATCAAGAGTTTGTGTCATTTGAATAAGACTTTATGGAGCAAGAAACACGCTGCATCATATAAAAGGAGAAAYGTTTAGATCCAAACTTGACAAAGATCTTAAAGTGAAGAAAAACTGAGAGTTTCCAACTGTTTCTGTTTGCATCTGTCTTTTAGTTGCCCAGATTCTCCTGGTCTTCCTGCTGTGCTGCAATCTTACAAACAGAACAGCTCCTCAGGGTTTCCATCTGCACTGAGATCAGCCACAACACAAGTTCCAGAGAGCTCAACTCAGACACAACCTCATCGGGTTTAATGAAATAAAAACAAAACATCAAAAGATTCAATGGCCTAATATAAGTTCCTCTTATGTTGAAAGCTGAGGAAGTTGTTACCTTTTGTTTGGTCAAATCTTGAAAATAATGTCATACAAAGCCATGAGATGTCACGATCTGAATGACTCTCAGCTGCAGCCACATCAGATTTTAGCTCATTTTCTGTAAAACTGACTGAGTTCAGGCCATATTTGTGTTGACTGATTTTTATTACCTGTAGCAGAAGTACTAACTTGGATTCTAAGCTTTATTCGGTTGTACAGGTACATTCAGTGTTTCTGTAAAATCTTCTGGTTTATCAGACTTTTCTTGAGATTGATTCCCAAAATGTTTTGAATAAGAATCATGCAAAATAAGGAGTTAGCAAGACTATGTTGGCCAAATGATTTTTGGCAATCCCCCTGTAAAGTTTTAGTGTAATATCTGTAAAATCGGCTGGGTTGTAACCTTTCTGTGTTAGCTAAAGTTTATTAGTTGTGGCCATCATGAGTTGTGTTGACTTAAAAAACGAATCAGTTATAGATCATCCAATGATCTTATTCTAAGTTTTATTAAAATCCATCCAACAGGTCATCAAATGTTTTGCAAACAGACAGAACTGAATCCAAATGATCAATGGCAGAAGACTTGAGCAAAAATAATGCCTAATCTGTCAGTGTTCTGGGAGCAGTCTCAGCTACCACTCCAAATTTTATGCCAACATCTGAACTGACTGTARCCAGTTTTTGGTGTTATTTTTTTAATTATTATTGATTAGCTGTGGCAGCATTTAGATTTGGATTGACTCCAAATAAAAACCAGGTGWAGTAGATGTACAGTAATTATTACTTTCTATATGTTTCATTCAAACCTTTTCAGTGATTCAGGAAATATTCTTCTGACAGGCAACAGAAGCAGCAGTCTTCAACTTAATGTGGTACGAGAAAATAATTATAAATTTATTAATAAATGCAAACTAAGATTTTTATTGTAGAATAAAGGAAATATTTCTACAATAATTACACAAGTCTAGGACTTATTCATGTTTGTGTCAAATCATCTGTYATGCTTTTACAGTCACTTCATCTGTAGCAAAAATCAACAGTGTGAATCTTATTTGTAATAACAGAGCACGTCACAAATGATCTAAAAACAGAGCTAAAACATCCAGAAACTTTGTGATTTCTATTGATTTTCATTTAACACAGCAGTCCAAGATGATTAAAACATCCTTCMTGTTTCCACACGACTCGGTGTTTGTCAAAAACAGGCATGTTTTCATTCAGGAAAGCTCTCAAACAATCAGGATTTTACACATAAACCCCAAGGAAGAAAAGCCATCGCCTGCATCTTAACTCTAATTCTGCTCATCTGCCCTTTCATCTCTTAACAAATATTAATTAACAGTCCCTGAAMGTCAACAGATCACCCACCTTTTAATGTGCACGCGGCGACTGCAACGAAAAGCAGAAGCTTCAGCATGTTGAAGCGAAGACTGCGAGCGTGAGTAAGAGCAGGACGACTCCACAGATAATCACCGGACCTGCTGCTGGGATGCAGGAGGAGTGATGATACTGAGGAGGAGGAGGAGGGGTGGAGGTGGGGTGGGGTGACTGGTGCTGAGGGGGCAGCGGTAAATAAGCCCTCCTCTTTAGAAACAGCCGGCAGCACATTGACGATGGAWCAAAACTGTCCGCCTACAAGTTAGCCTCATTATAACTTGTGATAAAGTAATGTTTGTWCTGGTTTTAATTGATTAGAACCTCATCAGTAATCAATATTCCCTATTTCTTTTACTGCTGTACAAAACCTCGTTCACTGCAAAATGCTTMTTTTTCTTACATAGGACATAAATCAAATAACGACTAAAGGAAATGCTTAGAATATTGTTTTTGAACCAATACACTGCTGTCAGTGTATTGGGACGGAGACAGGAAATGCAGACTGACTCCAGATTTGATGCAATCTGCTGGCTTCGGGAGGTAACTTTCACTAAATGACATTTTATATGTGCATTTTTGTGCTCTGAGATGACTTTTGTTATGCTWTATAAATACACTAAATTGGACTAAAAGAAGTGAATATAAGAAAAATATCAGAACTGAACGTGACCATTATGCCAAAAACTGCTGATCAAATGWTATCATGATCATTTTTACATCAATCTGTCTGAAAACACAGCTTAATGAAAAGTACACTGAAGTCCAGGGGYCTCATGYATCAACAGTTCGTACGCACAAAAACCTTGCTTACGCCATTCTCCACRCAAAACTCAGGATGTATCAAAACTGAAATGAAYGTGGAAATTACATACAGTACCCAGGCAGAAGCCTTCTATAAGTATGACCAAGTCATCTGCATACCCTTGTGTATGGAGTCTAGATCCATTCAACTCCTTTAGTAATCTCACCCCTGTGTTGGCTTCTGGTTGTTGACAGTTTACTGAAGGAGTTGAATGGAGTCTAGATCCATTCAACTCCTTTAGTAAACTGTCAACAACCAGAAGCCAACACAGGGGCGAGATTTCTCCTCCCTGTGGACAGCCCCGTCTGAGGTTTACGGTTATCAAACAGTCCCCCAGAGTTGAAGATGCTTTCCTTGTCTGAAGCATGAAAATGAGCCAATTTGTAGTGGTCTCATCCACGCCTTTGCTGGCAAGTGCTCTTTCTTTAGATTCTACAGGTACATTGTCAAATGCCCCCTGTATGTCCAAAAAGCAGCCAAGCGCATATTGTCCACATGCCAGCCTGTGTTCTATACTCAACATAACATCATGTAAGGCTGTTTCTGTAGAAAGACCTGCCTGATATGCATGTTGTTTAGGACTTAAAGGTGACAGCATTAAAATACCATCCCTTACATGTTGATCTATTAACCTCTCCATTCCCTTCAGCAAGAAAGATGTTAAGCTGATGGGTCTGAMAAWTTTTGCTTCTTTATTTGTTGGTTCGCCAGGTTTGGGCAGAAAGACAATCTTTGCTGTCCTCCACCCAACTGGTACATTGCCATTTGCTAAACAAGCAACACATATTCTAGTAATTGTGTCCAGAAGCAATTCCAGTCCTCTTTGGAGAAGAGCTGGAAAAATACCATCTGGACCACAAGCTTTGAATGGGTCAAACATATTAATTGCCCATTTTGCTTTGCCTTTAGTAATAATACTTGCAGCTCTGTTCCAGTCGTCCTCTGTTGGATTTGAGTTAGCACCTGTGACAGGCTGTTCAGTCTCTTCTGCCCCCAGAAAATGAAAACACAGTTTAGATTATTTATTTATAATTTTATTTATGAGTCACAAAATGCAGGTTTATGTTGATAATGAAAAAGTATTTCTATTAACTCATTTTAATTAGAATATTTTTACTTAATTGCTTCCATAGTGTTGGCCCGAATGCTACAGTACCTTTTTCCTGATGTCAAGAGGGAAAATAATGTGTGTGAGGGGTGGGTGGGGTCATCCACAATGCTGACAGCTTTGCAAATACAGCGGATTGTGTAGATGTCAGATATTGAGGGAAGCGAGACCCCGACAATCCTCTCAGCCGTCCTCACTATACGCTGGAGTGATTTACGGTCAGCGGCCGAAGGTTCGTGAGAATAAAAATTAGTGGGGAAGACATTAAGTTTCTAAATCAATATCAACAGGGGAGCAGGATTTAACAAAAATACAATGATCTATGAATTAAATGACACCTTTTTTTTTTACTGAAATAAGTTTCGTTTTTTTTAAACAAGTTACAAGACTCCATCACTCCTCTAAAACTAATAGGTTACAAAACTGAAAAAATACTTGCAGAAACAACTAATGTCATTAATGGCAAAGCTGATTTGATGACTTATTAGCAGAAATGAACATTTTATAAATTTTATAGATGCTAAAACACATTTTTTAYATCAATCACTATGCATGCAACTGGTTCTCTAAGATAAATAAATGAATGATGTGAAGAACTTTACTTAAATATGTATATCAGCACACAGCTACAAACAAAACGAGCACATTAAAGAAGAAATCCAGAGTTCAACTTTAATTATTAATATTCTTATAAAAAATAAGTGCAGTCTAGATTAAAAGCTGTTTTTACACAAGTTTTATATAAAATGATTCAAACAAAATCCAGCTTTTCAACTTGTGGTTACTCCACAGAGACAACAAATCTTTTCATACACTTACTGACTACACTTACATGGTGTCATCACTGAAAATGTTCCTGACAGCATGAAGTGCAGTTTTTGTGGACTCTCTATCTCTTTCTCATTAGAGGACTGACGATGAAAGAAAGTTAAAATCTGTTGACATAAAGGCTTTAATTTKCTGTTCAGAACTGAAATCCCTTCAGAAATAATTTGGAAAGTTTTTTCTGTCTCAAGGAAGTGATAAAAATCTAGTCGCTTGTCAAAGGACATAATATTTCACTTCACAGGACTCAAACTTTTGAAGAAAATAGTTTTAGTCTAAGTTAAAACAGAGGCAGATTTTATTATCAAACTTTTGTCTCTTTCTGGCACACATTAGTAAGTAAAGTACTTTATATCATCATCCGTGTTTCCATACAATAATAAAGATTATGCTCAACTCACCACTTACGTGGTGACTTAAAAGGCCGGGATAGGTGCTCCCAGTCTGCATCTAACTCCAGGCCGCACCCACTTCACCTGAAGAACAAAATACAAACATTATCCCGTGATGACAGGAGTCGTCACAAAGTGAACAGTGTTGCATAAAATTAATTACTTTTTCATTTCAGAAAGACTATAAATATTAATTAACTTATCAGAATTATCTTTCTGTTTGATGGACATGTGCTTTGATGTTTGACGGACTTCTTCCTCTGTTAGCATCTGTTAAATTTTCCAAATTACTGCCATAGTTTGAATAATATCAAATCATACTTAGCAAGGAACAAGGACAATATCCATGAGGGTAATTAAAACCACTAGAAATCAAGTTTTGTTAAACTTTTTTAACCAGGAAAATCTCATTGATGCCTCAGATATCACAACCTGAAAAAAGACAAAACAACGCGCACACACACAAACTCCAAACAAAAAGACCTCGTGCCCAACCTGGGTCTTGAACACAGGACCTTTTTGCTGTGATGCAACAATGCTGACCACTAAACCACCATGCCCAGAGTGCAGGGGTGTCAAACTCCAGTCCTGGAGGGGCACTATCCTGCATGTTTTAGAGGTTTTCCCATATATTTTTTCCTGCTCCAACACACCTGATTCAGTTCTTTTTCTTCTGTGAGGTTTATTGGCAGTTTACATCTATTTGGTGTATTACCGCCATCTATAGGAAGTTTTTACAACAACTTCGATCCATAGAAATCCATCTGTATTGATTTCTATGCTTAGATCATCTTAAATAAACCTGCCACYATCAGGATGTACATAAAGTATTTCCGTCCACACTTACCAGATCCCCATTCCAATATGTTCTTCAAATAAACAGCACTTGTTATTTTAGCAGACATTTGGTTCAGAAGATGTTTTCTTTCAGCAGAGTATTTAGAACATTACAAAAATAACATGATTCCCAGTTTCTATACTCTGGCAAAAAGCACAGTGTCCAATATTATGTTTCCCTATGATAAATAAAGTACTGTTCAGATTTGTATGACCTTTTCTTAATCTTGTCAATATTCATTCCTCCCTCCTATTTCCTCCACTATACCTGGTTCTGTAAATTGTATTCTGTATTGTAWAAAAGATGTCCTCTTATTTCTTGTTCCCACCGCTGTTGCCACATCTGATTAATATGTTTCCAAACAATATTTTTACCTTCTGTTTTGCATAACTGAATGTTAATGTCTATACTGTCCCTGTTAAGAGCATGTTTAGCTGATCTGATCTGCTTTTTCATTTCCCTGAACCCCTCTATGTGCATGAACCCACATAAACACAATACTACTTCCTTCCCTAACCATTTGAGAAGGCACTATCAAAAATTCTAATTAATAAGTCCTGTCTTGATTTTGATGCGCCTGATCTAATGCATGACAAAGAAACTGAATCACTACAAAAATCACCTGATTCAGGGACTGAATTAACTCTTCAAATTGTGCAGAAGCCTGTTAATCACCCAACAAGGGCATAACTTTAGGTCTAGCATTGGGGTGGTTATGCTCTAAATTTCTGCATGTCATTTTGAGCAGTTGTTTAAGTGTACACATGACATCGTAAATTTTAAAATCAAGTCAAAGTTACGTAAAAACAACAAGAGAGTTACATATCAGTGAATTTCTATTGTGTTTAAGCAAATGATGTCCTTTTATTAGGGGCATGTATTGACTTGATTAAATTATTGTGGGGGGTCATACCCCCCCCCCCCCTTGCAAATTATTCCTATGTAACCCATCCATTGAAATCTGGTGTGCTGGAGCAGGGTTAGTGGCCCTTGAGGACTGGAGTTTAACACCCCTGGACTAAAGTTAATGTTTCTCTCCTCTGCAGCTGATGTTTGTATTTAGGTGAACTAATGATTATTCATAGGACCAAGGTCAGAGTAATTTATGATTAGCCTGCATGGTTGGATAGGGCAAAGGAACCTAAAAATGCTGTTCATATTAAAAATAAATGCAGACTTAAGTGGAATCAGAGCTCTCTCTTTAGCTTTTTAGTCAAATCTTTACGTCAAACTTTATAATTGCTGAAACACTGGGGAGTAAAATCCCAAAACTAGGTTTTAAAACAAAGATTTCTAATGAAAATGCTAAAAGGTCACTGTATCCTGATTATCTGGCCTGAGATTTAATTTAGAATTCATATTACAACTTTATTATTGTATGCTGAGCTTGTGAAAATGATTTATATAGTGAATGCATAGAGTATACTGTTTTTATTTTATGTGGACATTGATAAAAATGTTACTACATAATGATTGTTTTTTAACCATTCATTTCACCATCAAGATTATCTCTAACTATTGCATATTTCTTCTATTTATGATTTTTTAAATAGTTCCAATGTATGCTGTTGTCTTGTTTTGTTATAGTTTACACTCACTAGAGCAGTTCCAGGCATTATGCCTGCAAGTCTGCATTCGGGGTTAAATTGCACAGTCTCTCTCTTTTCCTTCTTCCTTTTTATTGGTGAATTTGACAGGTGGGCGGGGCCAAAATGAAAACAAGGAAGTGAAAACGCATTCATTTCAGATTTTCAGGAATAAAAGTTCCGTTAGCTTCTTTCTGTTTGGGCCTCGTTATTGGTAGAAGAACCGTAGTTATTAGACAGGAAAGCTTACACGGAAATGGGAATGGAAAACGTACGAAAGCGTAGAGGTGACGATTTACACAGCAGGTGTGTACTGTTTGTTTACGTACGTTACAAAATTACCCCCCCCCCCCCCTTTTATTTTTGAGTCACAGTTCATTTATTACTCTGGAACAAACAGTATTCTGGTTACTTGAGACTAAATACCACTAGTGTTTAAATAATGTATTTAATATGAAGCTTTAGACTCACGTGTCATTGATTATCATGTCACAAATGTAACTACAAGTGAAGCATTGGTGTGTTGACATGTTCACTATACGAACATTTACTCACACAGTTGCGCAATCCAGCTCACTGTTTTGAGGGGAGGTGTGATTAATTCAACACAAATAGAAGAAATATGCAATAGTTAGAGATAATCTTGATGGTGAAATTAATGGTTAAAAACAATCATGTAGTTAATTTTTTTATCAATGTCCACATAATTAACAAAATAAAAACAGTACACATACTCTATGCATTCACTATAAAAATCCTTTTCACAAGCTCAGCATACAATAATAAAGTTGTAACATGATTTCTAAATTACCTTTTTTTGCCTTTCAAAGGCCAGATAATCAGGACACAGTGACATTTTAACATTTCCATTAGTAATCTTTGTTTTTAAAACCAAAGGTTTTGGGATGATTCCCATCATGATGTGTCTGTACTGACAGGAAGTGGAAGATTTGGTGATCTGGTGTGGGGAGAATAATCTTGGCATTGTTATAAAAGAGGCAAMGTAATTGATTTTGGATTTAGGTGGAGAAGCTGCACTCCCTCTCTCCTGGTCATTACTGTAGAAATGGTCTATGTTGGAGTAGGGCTGGGCAATATTGGTAAAAAAAAAATCACGATTAATTGTGGTATTTAGCCGATAACGATTAATTTGACGGTTAATCCCCTGGAGTCCATGGACACCCTTATGTCCTAGTCACATGACCAATTTAGTGGGAAAGATTTTTCCAAATTGTGTCAAAATCACAGACTTCAGGCTATATGTCAAATTTTAAATTGTGTTGATAGATAAATAAATTACAGAACTTTTTGTTTAAATGTTGGTCACATTCGAAGCGGAGAGGAGCACCAAGMAAACTGACTGGAGAAATCCTCAGTCAGTCTGCCTGCTGGGATTAATCGTATTAATCGTCAAGTGCCAAAAAATAATTGATCAGTGTTTTTCTGGCGATTAATTGCACACGATACGATTATGCCCAACCCTACCTTGGAGTCCACATTTCCTAAGACTTCACCATTCCTGAGACATCACCAAAGGCCAACCAGTGCTTACATGTCTCTTATGAGAATGGATTCACTGGAAGATTTTACTGATGTGTTGGGAGCACCAAAACTTTCTCTAGTGCCATCTGGTCTGGTCCACTGCTGACAGGAAGGCGCTGCAGAGGGTGGTGAAAAGACTCGCTTCCATCCAGCCTTGAGGATATGAAAGTTGATTAGAGTAGTGCAGTCTGCATCATTGGGAATCATACTCACCTGTCACACAGACTGTCAGACACARCTTCAACTCAGAAGAGGTCAGACCGGTCAACTCCATGCCTCACTGAACTCCTTTAATCCAGCTCTGCCTCATGTGCTGCTTTGTTTCCTTCACTGCATTTCTTTTTTACTTCTTGTATTTGATAAATATGTCTTTATTTATTAGTTTAGGATGTTGTTCTTGCTGCTGGTCTTGAGAATGGAAAAAAAGTGTTACTGTTAAACTACAAAAGCTGGCAACCCAACTAACATCCTGTTACCCATACTGAGCACAATAAACTCTATGTCAACAAGCTTTAAAATAAAAACAGTTTGTCCAAAACCTAATTTTAGGAAAGGACAAACATAAAAACAATGACATGAACTATTGGCTTAACACATTTATTCTTTTAAGTTTGCTATAGTATTGTTTAGGATGTTTGGAAATCTCAATGACAACAATGTTTCAGGCTATCCTGGTGACTTGATAACAACTCTGATAGTAATCCAGATGAGTTACTCTTGTGTTGACAAACTGGCAGCGCTCATAGGGCCTGTAGGACATCCAGTGGCACTCTTCCAATATAAAGACACAGTTCTGTCTCTGTTGGGCCACGGGGATTTTGTTCAGCATTCTACAGGAAACTGCACAGCTGTTCACAATAAACAGTTGAATGGCTCACAAAATCTACAGCCATGTATCGTGGCCCTGTTAAGATTGTTTTTGGATACCAGAGAGAAAAAAGATTTAGTGACACATGGAGTCTTCATGCTACTGCTTARCAAAAGTGTTTTACATCATCTCTGCCTTCCTGCTACCCTTTGACTTGGTAATGTGACTTATTTTCATTGGTTATGTGTATTCACAGGCCAKCTGGTGTTTTGAAGGAAAATGTACCACAGAGGAGAGGGCAACCTTTCCACTTTGACCTGTGGCTSTGCCTGACAGTGCAGAACTGGATACTTGACTTTGGGAGGCCGATTGTCATGGTGAGGAGGCAAAAAGCAACTAATATGTAATTTATGTGACCAAACAGTTAATGGGGATCAATTGATCAAATATGTTCTTGTATCATATGTATGTTAGATCATCCTTCCTCTGGAGTGGTTTCCTCTAAACAAGCCCAGTGCTGGAGACTATTTCCACATGGCCTACAATGTCATCACACCGTTTTTAATGCTCAAGGTAAATCTCTACAAAGACAACTATTTGTTTTCTGTCCAAAAGTTTTTTTTCTACTCTCATGAAATACTTTAGAAACCTAGTTAAATATCCACCACCTGCAACCACCGAAWATATACAATGTTTTTACTCGTGCGTGTTTTCAAATGTCTGCCAGGGTATCACATGAACCCCAGGAAAAAAAAAAACTTTATTAAAACTTACAGAAAACAATCAGTGGATGTACCTCTCCTACTGACCCAACTCAAGATGGCTGTCACAGCAAAAGACAAAAATGTCTATTACTCAGATAATTTTACAGATAATGAAATTTGCCAGCACGCACTCCCAGCCCTAACAGATTATTAAGATAATCTCATGCACATAATATGGTTAGATCAAAGTAAAGTAAGTAAAGGTGCTTTATTTGTCATCAGTGTATGTTTCCACACAATGATGAAATTTGTGCTCTGCATTTAACCCATCCACACCCAAGTGGAGCAGTGGGCAGCCATGTGAGGTGCCTGGGGAGCAGTTAGGGTTGGGTGTCTTGCTCAAGGACACCTCGACATGTGGGTATGGCGGGGAGTCGAACCTAAGACTTTCGGGTCCCAAGCCGGCTGCTCTACCACTACACCACAGCCGCCCCGGCAAATGGCTATACCTCCATCATTTGGCAATATAATCTTCCAAAACACTGTCTTGAAGAGCAGCAGGCAAATGTTTACTTTTTTTTTGGTGGCAACTTTGTTTTTTGTTGGCCAGGCAGTGTAATTTAGCCTGCAGTTCCTTCAGTCAGGCTAATCTGTAGTGCTACTTTCCCTTTAAGCCCACAGGCAGAGGTGGGCAGCACTAATCTAAAAATTAGTTCCACTAGCCCTAAAACACTAACTCAAATATTTAGGTCCCCTAATTCTAAAGCACTAATGCACTGAAAGTTTTAGCAAAAGCTAATTTTAAAGCACTAACATAACCCAGTCAACCCATGAACTTTGTTCAACAGACAACATGAGTCACATATTACCATGTTGCTCTCTGAAAACTTATCATTGACATTCCACAGCTGTAATTGGGTTCATATATTGTTAATAAGTCACCTGGTGGATAAGTGACACACATATGAACAAAATGTGTGACAGTTTTCACCCTCAGCTGTTAACATTAACATTGATCAATAACATTTATAGACCTCAGTTAGTGCTTCTAAATTTAGCCTATAAATTTAGCAAGTGCCAATCCACTAATACATTTTAAAATGAGCAAAAGCCCTAAAGCACTAATCAGGAAATAGTTCCCCTTATTAGTTCTTTAATGCTTTAGTGGAACTGTGCCCACCACTGCCCACAGGGTTTTAAAAATACTATCTCCTTCAGTTTTCTAGGAGCCCATCAGGCTCAACAGGTTGAAAACAAAGTCCACAACAAACTGTGGATTGTTTTAATATTACTTTTGTTTCAGTTTGTGTGTTTATTAGCATCAGCTTCATATATGGTCTCTTCTGACTGCGATTAAGACTTTTAGGACAGTTAGGATTTGTTCATTATTTAGTTCCTTTTCAATTTCAGTCATAGTTCGGTGTTTCTGTTAGAACTGCATATAGAACATTGTTAAGAAAAGCCCATTAAAGGTGKGCAGACAGGATCAGGGTTGATTCAGGAACTACGGACACGTCAACACTTGTCTTCTTGAAGCCAGAAGTGCTTCATAAGGACGTGTTTGGAGTTGGACTGAAAATTTAATTAAAAGATTTTTCTTCCAAATGTCTTTGAAGATAATTTTTCTTTTATATATAAAAATATTCAGGACAGGAAGCACTCACTAAAATTAAAACTTGCTTATGAGATCAAAGTTTCTTTTGGAAAAAAAATTATTAGGTATTTATGGAGAAAAAAAATATGTTTTTAAAGCTGAAATCTACAAAAGAAAGGTAATTTTAAGCTTCACCTTGTGGCTCTCAGTAGAGATGCATTTAAATGCACTTCCTTATTGACTTGTCAGACGGTGAATTACTTCCTCTTTACATTTACAGACAGCACATTTCTTTACAGACAGCAGAGGTCAGAGGCTCTGCTTGTAAAGTAAAGAATTCTGTTGCCCTCTAATGGAAAAATAGCTGCACTATGAGCAAATTCRAAGTAATACTTCTTATGTTTAAAATATAGTTTTCTACTAGGGAAAGAACCAGATTAAATCCAATTTTATGATTATTTTCTAGCTGATSAATGCAAAAATCAACAGGAAGCAAACAAACTAATTATTCAACCTTCTCAGTTTTTTGCAGATGSTCAACACTTGTGTTTCCTGTTCCTTTAAACCTTCTAATGAGAGTCTCAGTTACAGATCTTGTCATGTTTTCATGAGTTTATGATTCAGGTTCACTGGAGTTTAATGATTAACTTTACAAGAGTCAGCAGATATTTGGATTTTTTTTCTCTTCCTGGATTTGAAATCTAGTTTAAGACACAGCTTTTCTTTCATGTTTGCTACATTTTTTTCACAAGATCAACCGATTCTTGGAGAAAAATAACAAGCTGGCGACTGACTGGAGGAGAAGGCAGATTTTTCAGGCACATTAGAGGTTTTAGGCACTTGATGTGAGCACTGACAAAAAGAAGCAGCACAAAGAGAAGCTGATAGGAAAGAGTGCAGAATTTCATTAAAATAATCACATTACTTTTTCTTTGGGGATGGAGAGTCCCCCCGAGCTGGTGCTGTTAAACTAAAACCAACCTCTTTGCAATGTATTATTCATTACATTTATTGCAGATGGTTGCTTGAMATAAAGAAAAACCAGACAGATGGCAGGAAGAACAAAAGCCACTGGAGCTCAGCAGACAACAACAAGAACGTTGCCTCCAGACACTTCAGCAGAGATCTCAAGGAAAAACACATCACACTGTCATTACAGCTGTCTGACTCGACTTCCAAAGTAGCTCACAAACACACGGCTGTTGTTGACCCAGATTCCTGGAGATGGAGCTAAAATAAATATTAAGGCTGCAGCTGTAATCGAATAAAGAATACATGTGCTGCTGTTTGATTCCAGCTGATCGAGCGCAGTCCGAGGCCCGTGTCCCACACAGCTGTTTACCTCTGCGTCATTACTTTTGTCATGGGCGCCAGCATCCACCTGGTGGGAGACTCCATCAACCACCGGCTCATCCTGAGTGGCTACCAGCTGCACCTGTCAGTCAGAGAAAACCCCATCATCAAAGACCTGAAACCAGCTTCACTGGTAAGCTTCTGACTTTGTGACTGGGATTCTGGGAAAACATTAAAGTTACTCATCGTCGTGTCATACAGACCTGCCAAATACATGTACKATCAGAAAAAAAGATAATCTGCACAATATTTTTCTCACATCGATAATTTTTTTCTCAAATTAAAAATTTGTGAACAGCTGACATCTGCTTCATCTGTTTGTTTAGCTACTAAAACAGCTGACATGAGAGAAAACAGGTCAAAAATGGATGCACAAAAAGGAAACTAATGATCTGGAGAAGTCAACAACTGTGATGTATTGGCTTGTATTTACACAGGTTTGTTGAGTAAAGCATGCAGATAAAAGGGCTTTGTTTACATTGAATGCGTACCAGCAAGGGAGAGACACAAGGGTTTGTGGGAAAAAAAAGCTTATGAACTCTGATCCAGAACCGCATGGCATTCTGGGGAATGTAGGCAGTGGAAAAGCTTTAGCCTTCAAACCTCTCATATCTCGGCTAAGCAAGGTTGGTGTCGTTAATTAACTCACTCACAATTAGTTAGCAACAACCTGTTGAGTAACGTGTTTCACCATCGTGCCTCAGAATTGCTTAAAATGAAAATACAAAAAGAACGATGTGGAGTGAAAGGAGAAAGTGAGTGCAGCAGCTCGAGAGGAAATTGTGGATAAAAGAGGAAAGGTCACGGCACCAGTTTAGCAGAATTAATCAAACTTTTTCTCCTGGTCCTTATTTGAAATGGTAATGTAAAAGTATCATGACACATTTTTCAGTTAATCACCCAGCCCTAATTTAAATCCGTTCATCGCCAAGCACAGCCAGTAGCCAATTTTTGTTTAGTCTTGGCTCCTTCCTGCAAATCACCTGGTGGCATTTTTGTTWTTCCTAATTAAGCTGGGGAACTCTAAAAACAACTTGCCAGCTTCTTTTGTCCTTTTTTTCCGAGGGCTGAGRAATTAAACTTTTTAAATGACAAGAATTTGGCGATGCATTACATTTCAAAAATTAAATTATTTTATTTTCCTGAATATTTGTTGACATTATTTGTGTAAGGAGCACTGAAGAATGACTGTGAATAAAAACAGTCAGTACTGTTATTTGGCTCACCTGTACATCATTTTATTTGTGCAGAGTTAACTTGGCAACGTTTATTAAGCTTCATTTGTCACAATGATCTGAGTTTGAGTTTGTTTTTATTGAAGGGGAAAACAACAGGCATTATTTTAGAGACGCTTGAAGGTTTGTAACATTTTCCTCATTATCTGTAACGATAGTGGAGCAAACTGGTTTCTTTCAYAAGCTTTCAACTTGTTGAAATCTGAAAACTCAGAGCCTTGTCTTGTGACTCAAACACATTCTAATTAATCCSTCGTGCTGTTAGAAAAGATGTTTTTCCCCCAATATGGGACTGTAACAGTAGGTGGCAGTGTTGCCTAATACTCCGGCCAGTCTGAACCAGCTGAACATAGTTGCTGAAGTGAGATTCTTATATTAATTCTGCTTATTTTGCTTCTTCCTTCACAGATTGACTCCTTCGAGCTGCTGTATTATTATGATGAGCACCTGGGACACTCACTGTGGTATGTATTTGTGATAATTACATGTACTGTGTGTGCACAGTGTGAAGCRTCGAGCTTTTGTTTGTCTCTTCCTGCATGAATTTGGGAGATAAACACATGCAAATAAAGAGCAATAAATCATTATAACACATTGAATATATGTGCAAGATTCTTAGCTCCCCCTCATGTTTTTGTAAGCGAGCATTCAGAGGAGATGATCAGTTGCTTTTACTTCAATAAGAATTTATTTCCAGAGGATACTGGTCTGAAACATGCATCCATGCTTATGTCTGGCTTGGCTCAGCAAAGAATAAAGGATGGATTTACAATCTGGGGCAATTTAGTGTCTGATCATGACTGAGAAATTGAGCGAGTGGGAGTGTTCAGTGCTCTGGATGGGATTCCAAAAGCTACGAGCTCCCACAACCAGTTCATTTCAGTAATGACTATCAGTCAGCCAGAAATAACATAAATTACCATAAAGTCACAAACAAGAAACGCACATCTTGTTAGCTTAGAAGAGATGACCTGTGAAGTAATTTGATTAAAATACAATCTGTTCTTTAGTTTTATCATAATAATAAAGCTCGATATTCACATGACAATTGTACAGTTCAGCATGTTTTTTATCCCTCCAGATCAGACACACCTGACGAGAGTCATAAAAGCCCCAAATGGAGCCAAAAAATAAAAAAAATAAAAGAAATGAAGGTAATTTGCACTTACCTAACAGCCAACTATCTCTATGACCTGCAGGGATCTCTGTAAACAGCTTTTATTTGGAGTTTAAAAAAAAAGCTACATATCCTTGCCTTTTAGTATGTTTCCTCTACTCTACATTTGTGAAGTTAAGGAAAATTAATTTCCACAATCCAAACAAATTATGGATTTTCACATTTAAGCCAAACAAACTATAAATTGCATTTGAAAAGAATAATAATAAAAAAAGCTGCAAGCTGATTTCGTTCAGTAGGTGTTGCATGGCTCCAGGCTGTCTTCATTTCCTCCAGTCATGAATTAAACGACTTGGCAGTCTTCTAAAAAACAAAAAACAAACAAAAAAAAAACATTCATTTGGTATTCTGAACACATTTACACAAACGGCAGATCTTTTCCTCGACAGACTCTCCCCTCCTGCCAATAGAGAGGAAATAAACCCGCTCTGTGAGGACATTTAGCATGTGTTAGGTAAGGTGCACTCAGTGATTAGGCGGCGATATGGAAAGGCATCGTTATCCTGGAATTAGCTTCTTTTTGTGTTCTTGATGAATTTAATTTTTATAAAATGTCCATTTCTTGTGATTATATTCACAGCTGTGCAGCTTTCAGCTCAGCAGTGGCTTCACACTCTGTCATTTTGTTGTTATTCTCATCAACGTTCATTTGCAGCCATGATCGTTTTACTTCTAAGTTTGGTAAACGGCTTGGCTTTTATCCACTTTTGTAATTGCAAATCTCTGAAAGTCAACGCACCGGGTGTCAAACAAATGTACTTTTATTGTCTTATTAATGAGCAGGCATGCCTCGGATAACATCGACCACAAAAATGATCTTGACTTGTGGTAATTTGTTCACTGTTAGGAGCTCAGGGTTTGACGTACAGGAGAAACGTTTTGAACAAAAGAAGTTGGAGAAATATTCTTAGTACTTTTCCTTTCTGCCTTCATTTATTTTTACTCATAAAAATGAGTAAACCTACTTTTGTTAATACATTCTACATGTAATTTTAAACTAAAATTCCTTAAAGAATATCAAGATCTTTCCAAGAACTTTGTTTCTGAGTCAGCCTCAGAATATATATTATTTTTTCTACATCTAATTGAAGAGATGTGAAGCAGTTTGACAGTTTTGACCTTTCTAAGAGTTTTATAATTTCTTCAGGAGTGGAGAGGCACCTGTTTAGCCTTGCTCACTGGGAACAATAATCAGTACAATCATTTTCATTCAGACAAGGCATTAGAGCGAATAAAGGTTTAGCTAATGCAGTTGTTTAAGAAAAATGTACAAGGAGGTAATTACCATACAAAAGGTTAGGGTATATAAAGTATATAAAGAGTATATAAAGTTCTGCTTCAAGTTTTTTTATATAACATGAACTTATACGTCATTTTCTTTAGTTTGAGTTATTTTTCTTATCTTGTAGGTGTGTTAATATGTTTTATGAATTTTGAYTTACTGTCTAAGAATGTTGATTGGCGAGTGAGATTTTAAATGGTTCATTCCCGGTGTTTAATTCTGAGAAAATGATTTACATTTTCTGCCCATTTCTGATAACTCATCTTTCACACTAAAATAAATGTTTCCTGTTCCAAGAAACCATAATGGCTGCTGGTAAATACMTTTGATTCAGCTGTAGTCTTGTGTAATGTTTTAAGTGCTGCAGCCTTCAAAGAAATTAATTGAAGATTCTTTGGAAATGTTTTTATGCAGACAAATGCAAATTGCACTTGAAGCACAAGAATTTCAATACTGAAAAGGAGGACTCYTATGTTTTTTTGTTTGTTTTTAGGTACATTCCCTTCTTCATCATTCTGTTCATCTACTTCAGTGGCTGCTTCTCAAATTCTGAGCAGAAGAAAATTCCAGTTTCAGGTTGGCTGTTGWTGGGACCCAGCTCGCTCTACTACTGGTTAGTCACTGGAGAACTTAAATACATAGAAAGAGACCTAACATTAAAAAGCATTATATGATGTAAAAGCAGAGGTTAAGTTTTTTTTATGTATTACGTAAATACATAGAAAGAAATCGTCTTTTGATTGAAACAAACCTTCATTTAGATATTACCAACACACCAGGAACTGTTGCTGAACATGTTCTGTGCTGCTTTGACAGTGTATTAAATATTTTCTCAGCCTGACATATTGACTACATTTACAAAAAATACTCAAAACACCATATTTTTCCTATAAAGTCATATATATACTTACAAGGTAATTGCAGTAACATCTGCTGTGTGCCTTTTCTGGGAGCATGTCCATCGGCATCATATGGATTTAATGTTGAGTGAAGGATTTAAAGCCTGCTGCCAATTCAGRAAGTTTTATGTGCAGGCATTCCCAATATTTGAYRCTAYTYTGGGTGTAATTTTCAGTAGCAAGCYRTAACTGTTGGAAATAATACTGTGTGCATGTTTTATGCCAATTTATAGAAAATTGGCTTGAATAAAAAAGGAGGTTGTGGACTACTGTATGTCACCCTATTAATACAATACCAAAAGATTATGTGAAATAAATAGCTTAAAATAAGAATACAAGCAAAAKCTGCATTTGTTTTTGTAATATAAGTTTTGTCTGTGAAAAGGCAAAACTAATAATAGCACTAACAATCCTAGCAAGCTGAATCAAGCAACTATATATTTTTTAATTCACAAAGCTGTTTCATTTCTCATCTGTTTCAGACAGATTATGAATACAAAACCATGAAAAGAATCTTTGAAAGATGTACGAAGTGAAAATAATTTTGGTGGCTTTTCAGCTTTCAGCGCCTCTTACTCAATAGTTTTTGGTAAAAGTGAGAAATCTGACACAGAAATAAACACTTGTCAAAGTGCTCCTTATTAATGTGCTGGTAGTCCCGTCACAGCAGAACTTACAAAAAGTAAATGACGTTAAAATGAAGCAATTAGGGGTGCAGAGGGGAATGCAGCACCCACTGGTTGATCTTTATGTGCTCCGTACGGTTTTGAATTCCAGTGATAGTTTGATACGAATGGGCGATTAAAATATGAGGTTCTTCATATTCTGTCACCTCCAGTGATTTCACACTTGGTACATCAAGAGTGAAGTTGATGCAGACATCTATTTGAAAAGATGCTACACAAAGTGAATTTTAGATTATAACCAAAATCTCTTAATGATGCAGAATCTGTACGTGCCATCTGCTGCAGCTCTCAGGATGACAGGCAATCATTTTACCAGCTGAAAACTGAAATCCACCAACAGAAGAGCTGGAGACCAAACCATTTTTTTATTTTATCATGGTTGATATCACATAGACAGAAACTGTCCATTTAAAATATAAATGTTTTAATTTTCATGATTATATACAGAGGTGGTTAGTAAAGTTACATTTATTAATTACATTTACTTGAATAACATTTGGGAAAAATTGTGCCTTACAAGTAGTTTTATTACACGGTACTTATGACTTTATTTGATTAATATTATTATGAAGTATTGCTACTCTTAATTGGGTAAAACATCTGTATACTGTACCCACCTTAAGTAAGTTCACTGAATGAAGAACAAACCAGAGACACACCTACAGTTTATGTTGAAGTGAGGCATCTTGTTTGTACACAAGCTTTGTTCTAATATTATTTTCTATCTGCTGAGATGTTTGGAGGTCAAGCGAATATATGGTAAACATTTAGTATATATAGTGACTGGAAGTACTTTATTGTGTTCTGTAAAAAGAGGACAAAGTACTTAAGTATCCTTTTTGTTAAATACTTTTTTACTCTTACTTGAGTAATTTATTGGATGGCTAAATTTTACCTTTACTTGAGTAAAACWATGTTGAAGTACTGATACTTTTACCTAAGTACAAATTTTGAGTACTCTACACACATCTGGTCATATATGACAGCATCTACTGAATGTCAGTGGACTTATTACTAGAGTATATGTTTTTATTATATTTGATTTTGAGTGWATTAAAGAGCAGAAGGAACCCTTTTAAATAAAACATATTTTAGATTCCTGTCTTTAGAAAAAATATATTTTTAATTTTRAAACTTTTCTTAGAACCTTCTTAAGATCCAATAAATGCTGTAAGACGTTTGTGTCCATATTTATTATATAATCACTTTATCGTTATTATATAATCACAATCACTACATTTTACTTAGGAGAGATAACTTTACAGGTAATTACAGTTTTGTCACCAAATTACTTCATTAAAAATAATTTTGTGACAATATATTGCAAAAGAGTGAACCCATATTAATTGAAATCTGTTCAGAGAGATTCTGGAAGAATTGATTTTCTCTCCTTAAAGAGTTTTTGTTTTTTAAATTTAAATGTAAGCATTGATGTATTTTGTGAACATTTGGACTAAAACAACAACAACAAAAWCACAGTAAAATAGGACAATATGCTACATTTGTTTGCAGATGTCAGGTTTGTACAAGGTGAAAACCCAGGGAGCTAGCAAAAAACGTCAAAGTCCCGAGGTCCAAAAATAAAAAAATAATTTATTTACAAAATAAAAAGGCTGACATGGCAGCATAAAACAATTCTCACAGGAGAAACCTGCTCTGAGAGACAAACAACAATGACCAAAGAAGGTACAATTTACTGACAAGTAAAGCCAAACAAGACACAGAAAATAAAGGAAAACTAATGAGCTGATGATTGGAAACACCTGGGGAGAGACATGACCCCTAATTTACACTACACGCGTTCTGGCTTTACACACAGAGGTCTTATTTAATCTAAAATAAATAAAAGATTCCAGGAGGCAGATACAGAAATAAGGAGTCATTATCTAATGTTGCAAACTGCAGCCACTAAATACCGTTTGTAGATTTTTATTTGTTTTTTGTTTTACTTTTCGTACGGTAACTGAGTCAAAAGCGGAACAGTGTGTGTGCGTCACAGTGCGTGTTGCACCTGGTGTGGGACAGATGCGCTGTTTTTCAGCACTGTGTGCATCACGTTCATGTGGCCTGTAGTGTGAGGTGCACTGATGAGATTTTCTCTGATAAAATCTGATAAAATAGTAAAAGATTCACGGGGCAGACTAAAAAAAATTCATAATGTCTCTCTAGTATTGTTCAGGGGGCCGGGCCAAATGTGGAGGCGGGCCGTAGTTTGGGGACCACTGGTCTAGCCCAAGGACACATTGACTGAGACGGATGGAGTGAGGGTTCTAACTGGCAACCCACCAGTTACAGGACTAAMCCTTACCTCATGTTGCTACTGTCGCCCCGAAGAGATGAAGCTTATGACTCTGATTCAGATCATTCAGGCGACTCYGGAACAGACGAATCAGGAACTACAGACTCAGTAACAGAATCAGTAAACGCCAACTCAGGAACAAAATCGGGTTGGCCCTTTTTGAATATAGGAGAGGATCTCCTGATGAAAAGGCATGAGTAGCTCAGGCTGAGCCATCAGCGTCTCTTCAATCTGCCTGCAAWGCAGCTGCCTCGACTGATTAGAAGGAGATAAACAAAGGATCATTATTGTGCCCTGAATGAGTGGTTTCGTCACCTGATCCTCCCACCATGGTAGAGATGGAGCCCAATGGCCCCCCTGCCGCAGGGGACACAGGGGGCACACAGCAAGGGACACATGAGGGCTCAGAGTGGTGACACCTTCAAAGCCTCCACATCACTAAAATGCTCCGAAAATAAAAATATTGCCTGTCRGCTGGGTAGTTTGCATTGGTGCATTCTGTCATGTTTTTTATACGATGAAACCCAGGGAGCAGGGACAAAAACTGGGAACGTTGAAGATTTAAAAGAAATACCAGTAGGTTTAAAAGCAGGCTGAAGTGGAAGCATAAAAAATGCTCACAGCGTTGGCGGGGGGCGGATCTTAGAGAACATGGAGGCAGGCACACACAGTGAGAAAACAAAAACAGTAGAAAGAAACAAATCACAAAAACAAAACAAACAGATCCTCACAACAGTAAGAAATAAAGTTTGCACTGGTTAAGTGTTTGCGTTTCTTTCAGACCTCCTGACGTGTTCCTTCTTGTCTTGAAGGTACTTGGTCACAGAGGGACAAATCATCCAACTCTTCCTCCTTACTTTCCTTGCCATGGTTATCATGGTGATGTTTCAGCACCGGAGAGGCATCAGCGCAGACAGCAATGGCCGCTTTCTTTTCTACAGTTTCAGTGTTACAGCGCTGCTGGTGACTCTGTGGGTGGCCTATCTGTGGAATGACCCGGTTCTCCGCAGCAAGTACCCCGGCCTCCTTTATGTTCCAGAGCCCTGGTCCTATTACACTCTACATATCAGAAAGAGCCACTGATGACATGCTCAAGTTCTGAAGTTACTGAGTTTAATTAWTTTTTTTGATGAACTGGTTGATATCTACATTTTACATTTTTTTATAGATTTGTTCAGTATTGTGCTTAAAACTTGTGTTGTTTTATTTTCTTTATAATTTCCAGTGTTACTAAAGTTTTAACCACAGCTGTTATTTACTTCYTGTAAGCCTTCAAAGTAAAACAGACTCCCTCAGTTTCTGCTTTCAAAATAACAGTGGCCTTGACTGGTGCTGGTCCAAAGACTCAAATGAATTTAAGCTAATCAAACTGAGGGCAGATTTTTTGCGTTAACAAAAGTTTAATACTATCTTGATTCATTGAGGTCACAAAAGTCAAAAGCAGCTTGTTTAAAGATACAGTATGTAACAATATTTCAAATGCAGGCAGTGTTCAAAAGAGTTTTCTTTTACACTCATTGTTAAACACAATGAATATGTGAGAAGTTTATTGATTACGTAAAAAATGTATTCATGCCTCAAAGGATCCAATCATTTAGCCGCTACATGCTCTGCATGTATTTAACGAGTCAGAGGACAAACAGACTGTAGATAGCTTAAAAAGATGATTACCCAATAAATCAATTCATACGTCTAAAAAACTTTAAACATAATGATTATCACTTCTGCTGAAGACAGAAACAGATTGGGAATTTGTTTCCGCACAAAAAAGCAAATAAAGAAATGAAGGGATTGATAGTTAACTAGATCAAAGAAGAAATAAGGTCTAACACCTTGATCTGGTTCAGATTTGCAGATTAAGAATGATTCAAAAGTTTAACAATTAAGAACTGACAAACAAGATTTTTTTGTCCGTTTCTGAAGTACATTCATCAACRAAAAGAAATGCATCAAAACAAACTTTTAGAATAGGGGAATTAACAGCCAAAGCCTTTAACTTTTTCTAAAGAATTGTTTGTGTTTTTGTAAAATTACCCAAATTGTATTCAGATAAAGGTTTTAAAGCTGGAACCTGTTCTGGCTTCTAAAGAAGTTTATTGATTGTTAGAAGAAAGGTTTGTGCTGAAGGAAAACAATATTCTTTCAATTGTTTGAGTCTTTTTCAGGTTTATTATCAAGGAAAGTATAAAATTGTTTGCATACTTGCCACTTTGTATTTCTTTTTACTACAGCTGCAAGATAAAAGTCTGACCTCAGTATTTACTGTGTTATTTTCACACAATTAGAAGCTTTTTATAACAGCTAACTCTAAAATAGTACAAAGAAGCACAAACTTTGTCTTTGTAAACTTTAAATCTGTTTGAGCGCAGAACAAATAAAATATATATTTGAAAACGTTTTACAGCTTGTCTCTTGTCACTGAGAAAATAATTTTGAAATATTAAAACACAATTTCAACTCTGCTCAGCTTTATTTTTGTAACATACATTACCATCTTCTACACAATAAAGTTTCAAATCATTTAGTATTTTGTACGCTTTCTGTCTGTTAATGTTTTTTTTTTCTTTTACACTGAAAAAACTTCTCTTTTTACCTGACTRCTGTCATTTTAGTTCTTGTAAACTTTAGAAGAAAGGCCCAGGATGTCACTGTGTTCCTCATTAAAGCTGCTGCAGGGTGCTAGAGGCAGCAGAAGGACACGCCCCGAGCAAACATCTGGAATAACAAGAGGCAGACCTTTCACACCTGTAATCAGGCTGAAGAACAAACAGTACCCAGATGCCTTTAAAGTCGCTGCATTTCTGCACTAAATGTGCTTTAAATCAATGAGTCTTGATTTTCCGCTCAGGTACGAGCCCTTCGTTTTGACACTGCAGGCTCATCCAGTAATTGTTTGGCTTTAATGGGTTTCTTTTACTGGCGTAGTGGTATCTGGTATCTGTTTCCCTGGTGACGTGTATTGAATTGCACGGCTGCCTAGTGGCTGTGGACTTTAGACAGGTGGAGGGCCAGGTGACGCCAGCCACAGGGAACACTCTGCTTCCTGTAAGGAACAGCTTCAAACATGGTAAGAGCAAAAACCTTTTTCTGCCAAGTCTTACCTTTTTTCTGTATTCATTTATTTCATTTGATGAGTAGATCTAACAAAAGCCTGTTTTCACCTGGCAGGCTAAATTCTTCACACCGGGTCAAATAAATGGTAAGAAATACAGTCTATGTTTTATTATTGATCTGTGTCTAAAAAATATATGAGGAGGATCAAATTTCCTGATCAGGTAGAAACTCTTCATATTAAAGCCATAAAGTTTACACCTATAATACACAATAAAACTGGTTCTAAATTGTAAAGCAAAAATTTTCATTCTGTTACAGAGTTTAAGGAATGCTTCTCCTTTTACGACAAAAGGCGGAAGGGAAAAATTGCTGCCAAGGATCTGATAACAGTCATGCGTTGCCTCGGTACAAGTCCAACGTACGGGGAAATAGACCGACACCTACAAGTTCATAAAATCAGTACGTACAACAAATTTGTTTCTTGTTCTGACAAGAATTTCTTTTTATTTTACCTTCAAACATTGAAATCGATTTCCTACTTTTGTGTTCAGAAATGTTACTGCGTCATTTAACAAGGAACAAAAAGGGAGGAAATTTGGCAACAAAGAGAAGATKAGCTTAGTTTTATCTTAACCCATTGGTTCCCAAAGGTGGGGTCAAGAGCCCACTTTGGGTCATGAAACTCCCAGTCAGAGGTCTTGAGATGTTCCACAGACGTCTAACTGAATTTAATGCTTGCTAAAAGCACATAGTTTGCTCCACCTGTTTCAGGAAACAAATACGGAGGTCATAAAAATGAATTAATCTGAAAAAATGGTTGTCGAGGCAGCTGTCGTTTTGCCATCATGTCAGTGTCAATTTCTTTTTATAACACAATAAAAATAACAAAAATTGACCAAAGTGCTTCATATTTCAACCAAATAAATGAAAAAACGACAACAAATATATGGAGGACCGAAACTGACATAATTAGGAATAAAAGCAAAAATATAAAAACTAAACATTTGCATCTCAACTGAATTGAGTAAATCTAACACAATTACTTCACATTCACTTATAAAGTAAGTGAAAACATTGCTTTAGATTTCTCAATCTAGTTGAGTAGAACCTGTTGAACATAATTTATTTAAGTAAATCTAACGCAAACATTTAATTTTTTTGAGTTTGCTTAAAAAAGGAGAACTTTACCTCATGTTTTATAATTTATAAGTTGCAGGTAAGTGCTTTCCTCCTTACCTTTTTTAAACTAAACTTTAAGCTAAACTGAGGCTGCACAGGTATGCACAGTAGATCTGCTCATGGATCCTGCTCCTTCCTGTTTATTGACCAATAGGAGAGGAGCTGAGGGCCACCCACCATATTTGCATTATGAGGCAGAAATGCATAAATTAAAAACTGGAGACAGAGAAATGTAAAAACAACACATGGAAATACAGCACAATGACACGTTCAAAATGATAAAGAACATCGATATTCAAAACATGTTTTGTGATTGAGTGAGGGGAGCTACAACTATAGGAGGAGAGATCAATAAAAAAAATGTGTGTATRCAATGAGAAAAAAAATGTGTGTGTCTGTGTGTGGGATGAATTTATGGAATGGGTTAAATGTTGAACTGAAGCAATGTAAAAATATAAATCAGTTAAAAACTACAAAAACGTAATTTTGAGTTGTTTTTTGGTTGATGAGGGATGTTGATGGTATTTAGAGATTAAGTGAAACACTGGGGTGTTAAATATGCTATTATTGTTAAATCCAGCTGTGACTGAGATTGCTGTTTATTTAAAAGAAGAAAGTTCACAACAATAAAAATCAAGACTATATAGAACAGAAAGGGGTAGGAAAAGTTTTATTTCAACCTACTCCTTTTCTAGGCCAACATCGTAAATAAGAAACAGTTCTTAATGTTTTGCCTGTTGAAATAAAGGTTAAATAAAAATAAATAAATACAGATGGTCTTGTAAGTCACACACACACACACACACACACACACACACACACACACACACACACACACACACA